TTACCTAATGTACTTTTATTTAATTAGCATAAACAACTCTGTTATATGAAATAGAAAGGTAAGCAAACAAACAACCATTTTGAGTCATAAAGTAGGAGAATCCATAGATATTTTGCTACCAGTTTAAGTTTTCTTTTGGTGCAAATACATACAAACAATTTTAAGTTTCTTTTTGGATTATGACCAATGACCTTTTCATTATGAAGCAATGATAAATCACTAATAAAAAGATTACGAATAATATGATTGAAAAATGTACCGAATTTAATCTGAAACAAGTAGCCAGTAAGCTTAGTAACCATTTGAAGATAATGTTTTATTTATAAATAAATAAACTGCCTAAGCCAAACAATACGCACTATTAGTTAAAGAAAAAAAGTACTTTATCGAAAAGATTATGGTTGTAGAACTATTTTTTTTAGTATTTTGATATTAACCATTATATTTTATGAAAACAATTAAAATTTTAATTAAAAATGGGTTATATTTGAGATAAGCTCAATTCGAAGAATCCAAACTAGACAGAATACCAAAACGAATAATAACTTGTAAAGAAAAAGTAGGAAAACAGGACGTCCAAGAAACCTGGCAACGGGACGACCACGTATGGTCAAGACAGGGACAGAGACGCAATAGTTTGGGCATAGTTTGTTTACACCAAAAAAGTAAATATTATTTATCAAAGCTACAGATTATAGCAGTGTCTAACGTTAGGGACATTTTGAATTTAAAACATTACTTTGTACTGTGCACAGATCAGAAAAAAATGCAAATTAGTGATATGAGTCGGGACTATTTATTTGCTTTAGTACAAATAAAAATGTAAAATCCATTGAGATCTGCGCTGGATGGGCCATGTTGAACGGATGTTGGAGACTGAAACGCCAAAACATATAATGAGGCAAACACTAGTAGGGAGAAGGTAAAAGGGAAGACCCAAACTTAGATACATGGAACAAGTGGAACAAGATCTGAAAACACTTAAGATTACCAACTGGAAAAACAAAGCAAAGAACAGAACAGAATGGCGGAAAATCCTAGAACAAGCCAAGACCCAGAAAGGGTTGTCGCTACTGGTAATGATGATGACAAATAAAAATGTAGGTTTATTGTAGAATGATGTGCATATCCTGGAAAGAACACTGTACAAAACATCAACTAAAATATATTGAAGTATTTTGGATACATAGCCAGCCGAAGGAAAGGTATAGAGAGATTGGTGATTAACAAAAAAGTATATGGTAAAACAACTTGTTAAAGATCGTCACTTCGATAGTCAGACGAAACACCACTGCCCACTCTGTCACTCTGAGGAAGCATACCAAGTACAGAAGAGAAAAATGAATAGCAACCATAATATCGAATACCATAATGTTACCATATCCTTGGGAAGGATAAAGAACAAATAAAAGAAATATAAATGAATTAGAGTCACATAAATTGAAGACAATAAAATAGATAATGCTATGATAATGATAAATATTATCATATGAAATCGTAGGCTTCCACGGCCAGAGTCAGAATTATAGTTTATTCGTCTTCCTGGTTTGGACCGTGTCATTTGTGAGTGACCCAAAAGTGGGTTCATCTCAATGAACCCAATTTTTTGTCACTCACAAATGACACGGTCCAAACCCGGAAGACGAATAAACTATAAATATTATCATAGTTACAAAAACGATTTAAAACTATTTCGATTCAGGTTGAAGATATCAAAAAAAAACTATAAAGCACAGGAAAATAAAAACAGCTCTTTCTATAAAAATAAAGACTGTAAATCAATACTAACGCTAAACTGAACTTTATGAGAAGATGTCTACAAATGACCAGAGCGGATATAATAATATCAGAAGAAATATGGAACAGAATGAAAGTAGACGCTCAATTACAAAAAGTTAAAAAACAGAGCCCTGCAGTGGTACAGACGTGTACAAAGAATGTCAGAACACAGGTGGCCGAAAAGAATATTGTACTGGGATCCACCGAGAAGAAGACGGAGAGGAAGAACTCAAATGCGGTGGAAGACAAAAACGGAAAACTCATTAGTGGGAAAAAGCTACCCCGTCCAAATTTCTATATGCTACTCTTACAAAAAAATAGCTTTAACATTTTCAAATGTTCCAATTTACTTACATTTTTCTTTCAGTTTGACAATGACTGAAATCTCGACCAGAAGTAAAAACATTATGCAACTGGCTACAAGCATTATAACAACTGGAACTGATGATATGCTCCATAATCAGACACATATGCTAGTAGATCCTTCTGACGTCAACATTGATGACGTTCAACGTCAAAAAAAAGACGGTCAAGTTATTCCACAATCTTTCACAGATGACAGCAATGTACAGATAGAAATTGAAGAAACTTTAACTATTTCTGACAAGGTCTCCCAATAGTCAGAAAAAAAACGATCGTCAACATGAGAAGAGCACACCAGAACAATTCAGTCTTAAAAATGTCATATTTGATAACGAGCACTTACTTACTGAACCGCACTTAAATAATACCGTAAAAAACGGAATAGAAAAAAGAGAAAAAGTGAAAAAAATTAAGTCTATACGGTCAGAGATATGAGGGGGCTTAAAAAAATTGGTGGAAAGTATAAGTACACAAAGTGTGGAAATAAACGAAAGCTTGGCCCAATAAATGTAAGAAAATAGGAATTGCTAATAAATTTCAGATATTACTAGAGATCCCATTTTTAATACTTTTTGGAAATCAATGACATCTTGGACAGCAGGAAAATCATATATTGCTACTGTAGTAGTAGTATGTAGTGGATAGAAAGAAAGAAAATGAAGGATCCAGAAGATCAAGGTGTTTTATTACTACCTAAAAAGCAATTAGTTTGTAAGGCAATATTAATACTCTGGCATTAAAGGAATGGTCGGTTAGAAGCTGCTGTTATCAGCAGAACATAAGCAACTTAATGGACCACGAAAAAAAAAATACCTAGAAACAATTCCAAAACTACCCAGCCATTACTTTATAGTCTCTACGACAAAATTGTACCTAAAACCAGTTTTTCAATCTAAAAACGAAGTGTTTAAGAAATATATAAAATTTGAAAAAGAGAAAAATATAGAAGCTTCGTTTACTGCAGAATTTAACAAGCAAAACTTGGGTATATTTCGACCAAAGAAAGACCAGTGCAAATTATGTATGGAATACGAACATGGTCATGAAACAAATGAAGAATATGAAGCACACCAAATGAAGAATATGAAGCACACCAGAAAAGAAAAATAGAAGCAAGACAACAAAAGGAAATAGATAAAGAAACAGCCTTATGTAACCCAGATAGAACTTTATCGCTTACTGTTGATATACAAGCAGTATAACTTGCTCCCTATTTATTTGAAATGTTTTGCTATGTATTACAAGACAAAGTTATGTGTGTATAAATATACTATGCTTTTAATTTGGCTACAACAAATGTACACTGCTATCTATGGGATGAGACCCACGGTTCATTAGAAGCTACAAACATAACTTCGATTATTTTCACCTTAATTGCGAAGTGTCCCCCCTTAAAAGAAATAATTATATATAGTGATGGTTGCGGCTACCAAAATCGTAATGTTGTTTTGTCGAATGCCTTGCTAAAATTATCAATTGAAAAGAAGATCACATCATATCAAGAAGATCATATTTCAAAACTTTTTAGAGAAGGGACATACACAGACGGAAGTGGATATCGCACATAGCCTCATAAAGCATCGTTTAAAGAACAAAGATATTTATCTTCCTTCCAATTATATTCAGATTTGCAGAGAAGCTCGCCATACCAAACCCCTTGTTGTGAATTATTTTCATTATAATGGATCAACCTGCCTTTTGAGGAAATTAAAAATACAGCAACAGAAACTTAACCGTTTAGAAAGTTTAAAAATAGCAATGGATTCCGGATTCTGGGAATATTATAATAATATCATACCCCATTCGTGTTTTCCACAAAAATCATAAAATAATTAATTAAAATTCATAAAAATATGTTTTCCTTTAGTAACAACATGTATCTTTGGTTACTAAATTTATTTTGGTAAATTTATTATTATTTCAGGAGGGCAAAAGTCTTTATCAGAACTTTCTCGACACTTTTCCACCTGTACAACCTAGTAGAAGATCAAAGGAAGACATTTTATAAAAATCACTTAAATATCTTATAAAAATGTGTTAGAAATTATTTTTTTTACTAATCAGTATCAATACATAAGTCTTTTACAAAAATAATGCTGTGTTAAACTATTTTTTACCTCATAAAGTTTCCTGAAATCGGAAATCCTCATTAAGTCAACCCCGCTGTTTTGCGGAATCCCCTATAATATCCCACTCTTAGAGGAATCGGGTATAGATAATATTTTTGACATAAAGTGCTGATTTTTATGAGTATATAGTAGAAAACTTGCTGCCTTTATTTCTTTATTTTATTTTTTGTGAGACATAACAGACCTATTAAAAGATAAGTGAACTACTTATAATGATAGTCTACACACATAGATAGTAAGTATTATGGATGAAAGAGGTAGATAAACTTATTTAATAATAAAACATGACATAAGGAGATACTGACTATACAAATACAAGAGTATTAATGAAAACAGATTATTTAAAATCAGGGAATAAGACTTAAAATGGAGATGGAAAGAAAAAAAATTAAAATGTATGTAACCATTACAAATGAAAAACAAATTTAATAGAAAATCTGACGTTTCCAATTAAGAATACTAGTGGAAGACTTAATAGAGGTGCAAATCTATAAAAATTATCAGTTTAAAATTTTCTTTATCTGAGCTGGTTCAATGAGTTTTTCTTTTCAATTAGCAAAGCTATATCCAGAGTTAATTATGCAAAAAAACGTAATACGGATAACACCCCTAATTCAAACTAATGTTTAGGAGGTAAACCAAATAATGCAGTAATATAACGAGATCATTAGGAGATAAAAATTAGTACCAGTAAAATGAATTGATAATTAAAATATTAGTACAACTTACCGGAATTTGTCCACAATTGTGATTGTTGTGTAGTCAGTTCTGGGGAGCTATTATAATAGGGCATTGTACCCGTGGTGTAGGTACCCGAGCCCCTCGAATACAACGGACTGCAAAAAAAAATAAAAATTGAAACCGAAACGTAAATATAAAAAATTACCTTTTTGGCAAACATTTTTATACCAAATTAATAACAGTAAGTCGAAATTGTAATTGCTGCTTTTGTAAATATCGATCAAAAATTTCTGAAATAGTAATTATGGAAATAGTAATTATGGAAAAACCAAATCGAAATGAAGTCTAAAACCAATCAATAAAAAATAACATTAAGCATTTGTAAATGTTGTTTTCATTTTTAAAAAATCAAAAACTTCCAAAAACGGTATATAATTTTTATTTTCACAATCAATTTAAATTAAAGAGTTTAATTATTATCTAATAATTCTATAAAAAATAAAATAATTTAGTTAATAGATTTCCGAATATTTATCTTATCTGTCCAAAAAGAACTAAATACAATTAATTTTATATTTCTAAATGAGTAATACTACCATTAAACTAAAAAACTGAATTTGAAGATAAGAATTTTTCAAAATAGTCATTTACAATCAACTTTATCTAATCAGATCTATCTACCACCGATAAAAGTTGCGACAATAATGAACAAAAATCAACAAGAAATTCTAGTAGTATAATCAAAAACAAAGATAAAAACTCACTTGTGCGGAGGCAAAAAATTTAAATCCATAGACCACTGAATGTTCCACTATGTTAAGCTAGACACGAAACACAACACACAATTTGAATTTCACGGTAAGCAGTAATCTTCGACCTAACAGTCTCGACTTACAGTGACAACTGTCAACCTACGCGCTAATTGTATTGTAGTAGACGCAGCTTTTACTCAACTGCGACAGACAGACCCATCTCAGCTTTAGAACGACAGAATGCTTTTAGCCAGGGCAGTCACGTGGTGCGTGACGCAGTACGATCGCAAGGATTCCTGTAATTACGGCCAGGATACGAAGAACTAGGGCCCTCAGGGTTAGGGTAACCATAGTTTTATAACTTGTGTAGGTACAATAAAATACTTGCGATCTTAAGATAATAAAAGAGGTACATTTTCATTTTTTTTCTGTTAGAAAAATTATTTTATTGCGAAATATTGAAAATTAACATTAAAAATAGTATAGTCATGAAATTTTTTTCTTAAAAACTAAAAAATATTCCGTCCACTCTTGTGGTCACTATGCACTTGCGAAATCACGGAAACGTCAGTTACTGGTATGAAAATGATCAAAGAACGATGGCTCGTTGCACCGTTTGCAGATGTATTTTGTATTTCTTTTGCAAGCTTTAGAGTGACATTTGGCATATACATTAGCTGTGGTCAATGCTCTCAATTACTTTGTTTAATTTTAGGGCATGCATGTTGATTCGGTTTCTTCTTCTTCAAAATGGGAGATGGTGTACCAGACGAAGGCCTACCTCGTTTATTTTCTTTCTGCTTTCCCAAATTTATTAATGCTCTTTAGATTCAAGCAGATGTTTTTTTGGATTTCCGTTTTTCTTGTACAAAATCCATTTATTTACAACAACTCTTATGTACGTTTGTTTCTCTTTCTTAGAGAATACAGGGCCAACAACTGGTCCATCAGGTCTACTTCTTCCATGTTTTTGTTATATGTATTTCACATTTATAGTACTCTTAGTAGATTTACACCAGCGTTTTGTTTTATTCTGAGGTTTTATTCCAGCAGAATTAGAAACGATATAAATAGTCTTGTTGTCTGGCCATTTAAAAACAATTATATTGCCACCTTCAGTACTTGCAACGAATGAAGTTCCCATACCTTATTGTTTCATTTGTCGGTTTTTATAACAGAATTACAATTTTGTAGTCGATTCAATCGGAGACTTCCTGTCACTCATATACCTCTTTTATGCAGTTCTTTGATAAGGGGAAGTGAGCAAAATAAATTATCAAAAAATACTTTATGATTGATTCTCTCTAAGTCGTCAGTTCGACGCAAAACTACATCAGAGCGCACGCTCCAAGTTTACTAATTGACTTCTATCTTTATATATCCACTAATTCCAGCTCTTTCCCAAACTTTGACTCCTTACTTTTTAGATTTTTTTGGTAAGTATTGCTTTATACCTATTGTACCTAGTACCTATTGAACTATACACAGCATATAATGAACCCGAGGTCATCATTTTTGTCATGCGTTTACACTTTATAGTCATAACATCCATAAAGATCGGACGTCTGTGCTGGATGGGTCATGTTGAACGGATAATGGAGACTGAAACACCGAAACATATAATGAGGCAAACGCCAGAAGGGAGAAGGTCAGAGAGAAGACCCACACTGAGATACATGGAACAAAATGAAACAAGATCTGAAAACACTTAAGATTACCAAGTGGAAAAACAAAGTAAAGAACAGAACAAAATGGCGGAAAATCCTAGAACAAGCCAGGACCCAGAAGGGGTTGTCGAGCTACTAATGATGATGATGATTGCTTTATACCTAATTTTCCTTTTAGAGGAATAATTTGCTCATCAACTGATTGATATTCCTTTGGATCTGTGGCACCTAAGAAGTTTTTCTGAATTTTTTCCAAAAATGGTCGAATTTTTCGCAATTTGTCCGTGTTTTGATTTACATTATCGTTATTTATCAAGCTTCAAAACATATTCAAATCTGTTAACAAGGCATAGCATCTGCAATAAGGTCCATCCTCAGGCCATTATCACTTGTATGTAATGCACGCCAATATTTAATTTATGCCCAAGAAAGCACATAACTCATATTTTGTAATTTATTGTTTTGACCAGCATGTAAATTGTTCTGAAAGACAACATCATCCATTATATCTGCGGTGAACAGTGATAAAAAATAATCAATGGGTAATTGATTGATTTGACCGTTACTTGATGGAAATTTATTTTATGTAACAATAAAACACTGAAAACTTTGTTTTAAAACTTCCACAAAATTTATTTTAAACTCTTATCACTACAGCTGTTTCGGCTGATTGCCTTTCTCAAGTGATCTATTTTTGGCATGCGTTTACACTTTATAGTCTTTAATCAAATAGGTTGAGGAAAGGAGAACTGTTTGTCTCAAGTTGGTTATTCAGAATTATATCTGTGTGAAGAAGAAGAATTATATCTGTGTGAATGTGAAGAATTTTAAATTCGTCATTAAAAGAATGATTATGATCTAGAAGGTGAAGTGCGTATGTAGAACCTGTTTTTCTATTACTGAAAGCCCTTTTATGTTCTGCTATTCGTTTATTAAAATTTCTACCAGTTTGACCGATGTAAGTTTTTGGGCAGTCACCAAATTTAAGTTTGTACACACCACTGTGTAAGTGATTTTTATTTTGGCTCTTGTTGTTTTTAATATATTTGCCTAAGTTGTTATTTGTTCTGAAAGCTAGGTAGTCACCTAGATACCAAACTACTTCTTGCCTAAAATTTTATAACGACATTATTACGTAAGTATTATGATGTAAGAGATCATATTTCCACATTCAATATTTGTTTGAATTTGAATGTCTTTAGTCCATCATGGATAAATTTGAAATAAGTGAAAAAGCGAAAAGGGTAAGTATGTGCTAGCTATAGACAATTATTCCAAGAAAAACTTCCATAAAATGCTTGGTAATAATATCAAAAGTTGGCAGTGTGTTATTTCTTTATTGTTTATGTGTTTCTGGTGGTGTAAATACTAATTTCAATGCTTTCTTGTGTAGTTTTTGATTTAACATTTTATTAATTTTTTGTTAGTTGTATCCATTGTTTACTGCTACTTGCTTAATGATATTTAAATCTGTCTCAAAGTTGTATTTTGACATCGGAATTGCTGTTAATCTATGTAACATACTATGATAGGCTGCCAGTTTATGTTGTGTGGGATGGGATGATGAATTGTGTATAGTCGTACCAGTATGGGTAGGTTTATGAAATATGGAGAAGTCATGTTTGTTTTTAAGTCTGATAATTTTTAAATCTAAAAAATTTATGGATTGATTTTGTTGTGTTTCTATTGTAAATTCAATATGATTATAAAGTGAATTAATATACGATAAAAATTGGTCGAGTTGCCTGTTAGTTCCTGTGAAATATACCAGTACGTCGTCTACGTATCTGCATCAATATAAAAACTGTTTGAATATCGGATGTTTTAAAATCTTTGTCTCTAGATGATCCATAAAAATATCTGATAGCAATGGGCTTAGAGGATTGCCCATTATAAGTCGTGCACTGTTATGTATATATTTGATTATTAAATTCAAAGTAATCCTGGTTTATACAAACTTCAAGAAGATGTAAAATTTCAGATGTAATGATTGGATTTGTACTATTTTGGTCTAAAAGGTTTTCAACTAGAATAAAAGTTTCTGTAGGAGGAATACTAGGAAAAAGATTTTTTACGTCAAATGAAATTAATCTGGAGTTGTTAGGTAATTGAAAATGTTGTATTTTATTAACTAGTTCTATTGTATTTTTTATTGTACATTGAGGTGAAAACTTAGTGTGTTCTAAATTAATCTTTAACAGTTTTTTTTGAAAGTTTATATGACGGAGCTATATAAAAAGAAACCACAGGTCTTATTGGGTGATCCGGTTTGTGCAGTTTATTGAAAGAGTATAATTTAGGAAGCTGTGGATTTATGATATTGAGGTATTTCTGTTCTATTGGATTTACTATTGATTTTGAATTTTCTAAAGCTAGCTTAATTTATTTTTAATACTTTTCTGTCAGATCTTTATGTAACGTTTCAATATTTTGATTATTTAAAAATTCTATTTTTTTTTTGTTATTATATTCTATTTTATCTATAGTTATAGTAGTGTTACCTTGGTCTGCTTTTGTTAACACTATGTTGTTTTCTATTGATTTATTTTTTATTGAAATGGCTGAAATTTCACTACACACATCTGTAATAGATTTTGCAATTATACTTTTTCGATATTATATTTCGATACAAAGTTTGAGAAATATTCATTAAAAATTTTATTAATAAAATGTATGAAAGTGCCTGCTTTATGAAGACAACATTCTCTAATTATACTGACCCTGGATATTCATTAT